ACTATGTTCATCGATTTCTTTGCGAAAATTGGTTGGGCGTACGATTTACGACAACCGTCGAGGGAGCTCGTGAAATCCATAATGATGAAGAAGGGTGACAAAAGCTATGGCAAATGGGATGTTGTGCCACATCTAGACGACGAGGGGAAAATGTAATAATCCCACTGCGATAGCGTGTATATAGGATTAACCGCTGCCGATGAGTTTAGTTAAAAAGTTAAATATTAAGACATCTATGAAATGTAACTTGCGATTTTTTTACCATAAAGACAGCAAGATACAGTTTATGCAATGCGTAACATTTTCTTTGGGATTTGGTATATTGGTATATTGTATTGTATTGCATTAACAGATATTATAATATAGAAATGCAAAAAAATATTAATTTACTACGTGTAATTCCTCCCTTTCTCTCGTTTTCTCTCTCAAATTTTGTATTAATAATTTGTTGGTGCTGCAGATTCAGTGTGTCTTCGAATTCTATCTTTGACATGATGTGATATTCATTAATGGTTCCATCTTGAAATTATAAATATAAATGCTAGGCAGGGTATCAATATTTAGCATATTTATAAATTTGATAGATCTAAAAATAATAACCTAAATTGATGGCCTAACTTCTTGCCGCGTATGTTACATTTTAATATCGAACTCGTCAATTGTTCAGAATCTACTCACCAGGAGTTTCTGCGTTTAGTTTGGAGTTTTGCGCTATCAAATCCATTCTTTGTCGTCTATCACGACTTGCCAGAAAAAATTCTTTTGTTTTGTCAACAGTGTGAAACAAATATTAAAACACCGCGCACAATTTTCCTCGGTCAACTGATGTGACACTCACCTAAAATAACAACTTTAAAAGTTCAAATACACAACATTATTTAAAGTCAGCGGCAGAAATTTCGTTATACTCCTAATATATTACTACTTCGTGAGTTGCATAATGCTGTAGCATATGCAACATAGGTCAATGCAGATATTTAAAATATTTGTAGATTGGCTTCCTATTTATAATTCTCGTATTAATGACTGCACACGATTTGATTTTATAGTGGGGATCACATTTAACATATGTTAAACAATATATTTTACATATAATAACCGACATTGTTTACATTCATTAAAGCAGCAGATACATGATTATACTTCGCTGCATATATATAATGAACAGAAAGCTATGTACATAAATTAAATCGTCCGAGCCAGATACTTCAAAAGAAACGACCAACATATGCCTCAAGAAAACGCATTTTGCTTCATAACAATGCAAGGCAATATTGTTCATAACGACGAACAAATGCCGTATTATCTTAAATGGGATCCTAAGTAAATAATGCAATTTTCATATTTAACACGTTAAATTAATGCACCACCGGTAGCCCACATCAGACTTTCCATTCGGGCGGTATAATGCATATATTTTATGTTATGTTTCTTCTTCATAATAATAAATCTAGTATTATATATGTTATAAAATATATCTTATAATAAATGCAGTAATCTCCTAAAATTGAAATTTATTATGTTCATTATGGTAAATATGAACCTTAGAACCAAAAAAAAAACAATATGCTTTGATATCAATAAGTTCTTTTATATCGGCATTGATTTACAGTCGAAAAAATGCGGCTAACAGTGAATTATAGGCTCAATTTACTTGAGTCAGAGAATTCAGCAACTGTGACAGCACAATGTGAAGCGCAAAGTGTTAATGAAGGTAGATAAATCTGAGCTGATTATTAATTTAATTTTATTAATTGTTTTCGATAACGCTATTTAAATATATACTTAAACCACCGTTGACGTCAATCGACATTCAAACAGCACGCTAGAATGTTGGCACCACAACTTTAGTCGCTACCGCTTTGCTATTTTTCACCGCGATCACGTACACTTGCTTCCGTTCTTCTTGTCTCGAACCAAGCACGTGTACAGTTTTTTCTCTCGCCATTTTTATGCGCGGCTTGAAATAAAAGGAGCCGATTTCTATTCTCGATCGTTCGAATTCTATGTCCAGAGAATACCACATATTATTGTTAATTATTGTCGTGAAATAAAGTTACGTTAAATCGAAGACAGAGTGCCCATTCCGTTCGACTGTTATAACGATTCAAAAACTATCGCCTTGGTTTTCGAACTTTTGAAAAAATAGCTACCGCAACCGGGTTGCAATCGAACATCCATTAACATGTATTTTTATACATTATGCGTGACTTTTGTTTTTAACCTTATTGACTTTGGAAGAGAAATGTGACTTTAAATTTACATTAAATAAGAAAGTGGTATTATTTATGCAAAATGCAGCAAATTATAATCGTATGTCTGCTGATTTCATTAATGTGGAATACAGGTTATTATATGTAAAATATGTGTTCTGCTTGATCCATGATCAACTGATTGTGATTTCGGCCGTAAAATCGATAAATACAAGCTTCGTGCGGCCGTTAAGTCGAGATCGGTAGTGGCAGTTCGCGAAGACGGCAATCTGTTATTTAACACATTTCCTAGATCTCGGAAATCGTACACCAGCAACATGGCGAGCAGGAAGAATCCTTCGGATAGTTCCGAAATGTTGAACGACAAAAATTCTGCGCAGAGCGATAATAAACTCAATACCGAGATTAAAAAATGGAAATATTTTCTATCAGAACTGAAGTGGTCCATTGCTATATTAATATTTTTGGTTCATTTTGGTGCATTGTACAGTATCTTTTCCCTCGACCGTACAATCAATATGAAGACAATTCTTTGGTGTAAGTTTTTCTTAGAAAATCAATAGCGTAGGACGCTTACGTTATTTTAAACAATGACAGATTGTTAGATATATTGCGCTGGAATTTCATAAGAATGTTATTTTAATATAGATTCGATGTATTTTATTTCAAGATCTTTTCATTTGCACGATTCAAGCGGTAGGCTTCACCGCTGCCGCTCATCGTTATTGGACTCATCGAACTTATAAAGCGAAATTTCCACTCCAACTTATACTTTTCTTCTGTTATTTCACGGCTAGTCAGGTAAAAAAAAATATAATTATTCAGTTCTTCCGATGTATAAGGAAAGTGTGAGTCGGGAAAAGGGACAAAAAAGTATAAAGTAGAAACAGGGAACAATGATTTTCTTTTACAGATGTCTCTTCGCAATTTTGTGCGGGATCATAGGGTACACCACAAATACTCGGACACGGACGCGGACCCCCACAACAGCAATCGGGGATTCTTCTTCAGCCACGTCGGATGGCTGCTAAAAAAGAAACATCCGAAAGTTATCGAAAAAGGTCGACAGATCGACTTAAGTGATTTCGACGCAGATCCCGTCGCTATGTTCGGTGAGAAGTAAGTCCTTGTCAATTTAGATCGTTCATTGTTGCGCATTCTGCAATAATTACGTACTTGGCGTGCAGGAGATAGAACGGAGTAGAGTAAAGAAGAAAGAAATGATAAATCTGAAATCATCGAGCGTCGTGTTTTCTTCCGCCATCGCATTTTTCTCGTTATCGGTTCTTTTGTCGGACACAGGATTGGTCAGGCAGAAGTAATTCGATTTCAGTGTAAAATAATCCCCGACGTAATAGATATTGTTCGTTCATAGGTATTTCTGGATACTTATGATAGTTTTCTGCTACATGGTACCGATCGCGACCCCCGTTTACGTGTGGCACGAAACCTGGACTAATTCGTTCAAAATTCATTTACTTCGCAACATAATTGGTTGGAACGCCGTGTGGAGTGTCAATAGTTTTACTCACATGTGGGGCACAAAACCGTACAACATGTAAGAATTCTATATCCA